CCACTTGACTCAGACCAGATATTGGAAGGAAAGGTTTGTTGGGTACCTGGGGCAAACGGGGAGTTTCCCCGCCCCCCTTCCCTGTCCTTCGGACCCTGCGTGGTTTTCCAAAGAGTTCAGGGCAGACCCACAATCTCGGCCGCACGCGGGTTGCCAAGTCAGCGGGCCACCTCGCTTCAGCAGACGGTGTGACCTGAGACATGGCGCAACGGCGGTGCCGCATACTCTGTCTCCACAAGCCCACACAGCCAGGCCGAGGCCCCAGGCCCAGGCGCCTAGAAGCACCTTTCCTCCCTGCCTGTCTCTCCCCCTCTGTGTCCTCGCCCGCCCTCTCCCTCTGCCCTCTCTGCCCTCCCTCTGCGTCCGTTCCTCCTGGTGTGGGGTCTCTCTGTCCCTGTCTCTCTCTTTCTCTTTCCCTCCCGCCGCCACCTACCCCTTTCCCTCCCTCTCTCGCTGACTCTGCCAGGAACACCCTTTGTGCTGCGGGTGCGCAGCCGTGCTCCAGGTGAGCCGAGCGGCCCCCTCCTGGGCCCAGGAGGCCCCTCAGTGTTACAGGGCCTCAGGCAAACACACAAGCAAACAAGCCGTGAGAGTGGGACGGAGCACATCCAGCCATCCAAAGAAGTGACTGCCTGAAGGCCAAAGGCACAGGCCAGGGGCACGTGGGGAGAGAGAGCAATCAGGTCCTTGGCCTTGCCCTGTCGGGCGCAGGCAGCCTCAGTGGTGCTGGAAGCCCAAGGACTCCCCAGGGTTGAGCAGGTAGGAAGAAAGGGCAGGAGCTGAGGAGGTTGGGAGGTCGGCAGTGCCTACTGATTCTGCACATTGATTCTGTTCGGGTCCCTTGCTCTCAGCCGGGAAGGGCTGGGTCTCTCCTGACTCTCTTGCGTAGTACGTGCTGGCGAGGCTCCTTTACCCAAAGCAGATCCTGAATCACCCCAAGATATCAGCCGTGACGGGTGACCAGGACAGAGACGTGGTCAGCTACATGACCAATTTGGAGGTCAGTCCTGGGAGACGGAGGCTGGGGGATGTCCGGTGGGAGAAGGGTTTGAGAAGGAAGGGGTCTGGCAGAGTGGTTAGGAGCGGCAGCCAGGCAAGCCGCTCCGGATACGTAGAGGACACCTTCCCACGTGCCCTCCTCTTTCTTCGGTGGGGTAGGTGGAGGAATTGTCCCATTCTAAGTACCACTGCAGGTTGATGTTTTCCTTTGAGAACAACCCCTACTTCCAGAACAAAGTGATCATTAAGGAGTATCACCTCAGCATTGCCGGTAGGAGTGGGCTTGAGCTTCGAGGATGCTGGGGTCGGGGAGGGGGGCTCTTGGGAGCGGAAGGGGAGGTGCGCGGGTGGCCCCCGGGTGGGGGCAGGGCCGGGACCCTGCCCAGGAGGGAGAGAGGCTGGGAGGTTGAGAGGACAGAGGGCGAGAGGGCGGGGGTCCTAGGCTGTGGAGAGCCTCTCCTAAATTTTCCATTCCTGCAGGATAGAGGGCATCTCGTTCCACTCCAGTGCAGTGGTTCTGGGACTATGAACGTGGAGCTGCCAGGCGCAGACACGACACCACCGGCCTTAACTTCTTCAACTGGTTGTGTGACCCCTGCTCCCCAGGGTCTCACGGCAGCTGGAACGTCCCAGGTCACTCGGGAGAACGGAGACTTCTCCACCCAATTTCCCTGAACTCTCGTCCGTGCCTGTCGACCGTCTCTCAGTCGTGCAGCCGCTCGTTCAGTTGGGGATGTCCTGCCAGTCTTTGGGAGTGGGGCTCCTTTGTTCCATTCCTGCTCCCGGGCCCAGGATCCCCGACTTCCCTCCTTGTTCGCGACCACCACGTGGCCTCCCACAGCCACACAGCCATTCTTGAGAATGGCACTGGGTCTTGAGCAGCAGGCTCCTGAGGCTCTAGCTGAGGTGGAGAGGGATTCCACAGGACAGAGGACACCCTCAACACCGCCTTGGCTATCCTTGGTATTATGCAATTTCACAAATCCCTAATGTGTGTGTGTGTGCATGTGTGTGTGTGTGTCGGGTGCTTGGCAGCTGTGTGGACGTGTACAGCGCAGAGCATCAGAATCTGACCAACAAGAAGTAGTCGAGGAGGCGTCCACCGCTGTGAGAGATGGGTGGAAGAATCTACGTGGTGCTCTGCCTGCACAGGACAAAATTGGGGGAAGGCTCACCAGTGGCAGCTCTGGAGAGTATCCAGCACCTATCTAGGGATGGCGAGAGAGGCATAAACAAGTTATGAAGCTCTTTGCGTCTCTGTGTGTGTTTGTACGTGGAGCCGGGATATGGCGAGGAGGCAGTCAGACTAGTGGGACCCTCCGTGCCATGGCCTGTGGGATTCCACGTGTGGCAGTGATGTTCAGCATGGGGACAGGGCAGTGGAGGTCAGGGCTAGGTATGTGGACAGAGCACCGCCCATCCTAGGCAGGGTCTAGGAGGAGCACGGACAAAGGCAGACCCCTCTTCATTGGACCCTTGTCCTTTAGGGTAGAGCACACAGGCGGGGAAGGGTCCTGGTGAGCGGGACCATCGTGGCCCGGTGGCTCCGGGTACCGCCGCATTGACACAGCTTGGGGAGCTTGGACCAGTAGCCTTGCTCCTGGAAGTGTGCCCCAGACTGCTATGATCGGTTCCCATGCATTCATCCGGTCAGGAGCACTGCAAAACCCACGTGTCCCGGGAGGAGGAGAAGGAGGCCATTCCTTGTGCTCCCTGTGGCCCCCGCCCTCCTGCTCCGCACCACCTGCCCACAGGGGACAGTTCCAAGCACGTGTGAGCGAACCAGTTGTGAGTGGTGGGCCCTGTGGCTTTGTGAGTGGGCTGTGTGTGAGGGAGTTGCATGCCCAGGGACACGTTTGGGTGTGTGTCAGCGCATGTGCGTGCGTGTAAGTATGCTTGTGCGTGCAGCCACCTGAGCATGCCTCTTTCCCGGGGATCTTGTGTGTCTGTGCAGTGTGTGTGAGTTTGCATGCGCACGTGAGTGTGTGGCAAGAGTGCATGCCTGTGAACTGGAGACCATGTGTCTTGGTGTGTGTTTCCAGAGTGTGGGATTGCAGGGGCACGTGTGTGTGTGTTTGCGAGGCCACGTGTGTGTTCCAGCGAGTAGGGACCCTGGGTGTTTCTGTGCTGCATTTGCATGTTTGAATGCCCACGTATGTGTTGATGTGTGTGTCCAAGTGTGCATGCTTGTGTGCCATAGAACTTGTGAGTTGTTGGGTGTTGCCTGAGTGTGTGCACACAGATGCCTTTTGTGTGTGTGTGTGTGCACACGTGTGTGGCCCAAATTCATATACCTGTGTGTGGGCACCGTGTGTGTTTATATTTCATGGGAATGTGTGTTTGCATGCATCACATGTGTATATGTGTGTGGCCACATGTGCGTTTCTGTGTGTTGGTGACATTGTGTACTTCCAAGTGTTGTGCGTGTGTGTGTGTGTCTTTCATGTACACCTCTGTGTTTGTTCATGTCAAGTGTGCATGCCTGTGTACTGGAGATCAAATATTTTGGGTGTGTGTTTCCTGAGTCTGTCTTTCGCCATGTGTGGGGTGGTGTGTATTTGGGCGGCCAATGTGCATGCCTGTGCGCGGGGACCGTGTGCGTGTTGCGTAGTGTGTGTGTTTCACACACGTAGTGTGTGCACGTGAACGTGTGTGTGCATGTGAGCAGCAACTGGCCTGGCTGTCTGTGCTATTCCATTGCTGTACTGCGTGTGTGTGTGTTTTCAGGCGCACCTGGGTGTGTGAATTCCTTTGGGTACTTGTGTATGGAATGGTTCCAGAGACCTTCCGTGCGAGTGTTGAATGTATGTGTGATTGTTTGTGCAGGGGTGTCTGTTGTGGGTGTGTTTGCAGGCCTTCAGGTGATTGTGTGTGAGTGTGTGTGCTCACGCGCATGTGTGTGAGAGAGAGACAGCGGTGCCTGTCTGCATGGGTTTGTGTCTGTGTGCGTGCATGTGGCCATTTCATTCCCATGTGTCGAGCCCGGGTGGGGGTGTGTGTGTCGTGTGCGTGTGTTTGCATGATCTCATGTGTGTGTTGCATGTCTCTGTGTGTTTGCAGGCACGTGTGAGTGTGAGTGTGTGTGGCCACTGGCCCATGCCTGTGTCGAGACCGTAGGCGTCTGTGTCGTGTGTTCAAGCTTTTGCATGTGCACACGTGTGTATGAGAGTGTGTCTAGGCCCCCATCAGCAAAGGAGAGGGACTGTGGGATTGCTAGCTCCACCGGTGATGGAGAAAGGGGCAAGAGGCCGAGGGCAGCCACGTCCCTCCGGACACACAGGCCCCGAGTGCATTCCGTGGTTCTTCAGGGGTCTGTCTCCCGTGTCGACGCACAGACGCACAGGCCAAGGCAAGGAGGGGGGGTTGGGATGTGGCAGGCGTGTGTGAGGAACACCACCCATTTGTGCTGATTGCACACATGGTTCCAGGTGTGGGAATTAGCTAGGGGTTTCACTCTCTTCCCAGGCCGCACACCTCTCGTCGTGTGGCCCCTCTCAACTTCCCTCCCCCGCAAGGGCTATGCCAGACGTCTGTCATTGCACGAATGTCACCCGGGAGTGGGAGTGGACGTGGACAGCATCCACATGGTGGGTGAACAGATGAAAACCACGGTGCAAAGACCGTGGGGGACGCATATTAAATCCACTCTGGTGGAAATACGTGGAGACCCGGTCGGGGACTATACCTGTATATATGTTCACGCTTCTCCGGACTGAGACGGGGGGAGGGGGGCGTCTAAAAAGCCCCTTTTGTCGGTGATGCCTGTAGAGACAGGCTGGCATTGGCACCGACCAACAGCCCCACGCCCTTTTTCAGGCTTGAAACCACACTTGGGCATCTCTCCCCTCATTTGTGGGCCAGCTCTGGGGACGTGATAGCCCAGCTTGATGATCCGCTCACAGTCTGACCCGGCTGGCCCAGAGCAGGTAAGGCTAGTGAGGATGCGTTCCCCTCTGTAGGCCAGAGGAGCCGCGAAACCCCTTCCCGGGGCATTCGTGCTTTTGCAGCACGCAGCGTAAGACTCTCCGTCTCTGGTGGGGCGGGCGTTCGTGCTGCCTGCCGCCTGGGTGCCGTCCTCAGCTCCTAGCCGCCTGGCCTTCCAATGAGTGGGCCCCGAGTTCACTGAGCGGGCGGACAGCATCCACCTGCCGCCCTCTCCACAGGGTTGGCTCAGACTTCCTCTTCAGGCAGGGGCATCTGGGTCTCCTTTCCTGTATGCCCTTGGCTCCGGGAAATGCATGCGTCCCTCTGTCCTCCATTAGAACCACACTGCGTGTCTGTGTGAGTGTGTGAGCTGTGTTTGTGTGCGCAGCCAGCTTGGCACCTTTTCGTGGGTCACCGGCCTGGCTGCCGGTCCCAGAGGGGGAGAGGGCTTTGATGTCCTGGGAAAGGAGCTGCTCCGCGATGCATCTGCATCTCCTGTCCGGAAGGCTTTAGGTTCCAGAGGCCGTGTGGCCACAGGGGTCAGAGAAAGAGCGCCGGGAGACACAGTCAGAGAGGAGGACGGAGAGGAGAGCGTGAGGAAAGGGCAGGCGGACCGGTGGACAGAGCGCTCTTCGTCCTTCTCTCCTGACCAGCAGAGGGCATGCACTGGGACAAAATGTAGCCGCACATTTCCCCCGAGGAGGCAGACGGGTTCGGGGCCTCTGTGTCCCGGAATCGCACTATGAATACTCCCGGGCCCGGGCGGACGATTTCCACGCACACTGGACTAGGCTTCCCGTGGTGCACCCAGTGTCCTGAGTCTTACAGGAGTCAATTCGGGAAGGGCGAGGGACAGCTTCGCCTTGTCGGTACAAAATCCGGGCAGAGCGCTAGCCTGACGGGGCCGCGGGAGGCGCGCGGGCAGGGGTGTGGGGTGGCGGTTGTGTTGCGGGGGGCGGCGTGGGGCGGGAGGGGGCGTTCGGTGCGGCTGGGAGCCCGAGGCCACCCCGCAGGAGGCGCGCCGGCAGGCTCCCTGGCTGGCTGGCTGGCTGGCTCCGGTGGGATGAGGGGCGGGGCCGCCGGCAGGGCACGACCACCGCCGTGCCAAAGGTTAGAGCCCGGGGCCGGGGCGCGTCCTGGACGAGCTTCGGGGACTCAATCCCGCCAGGGCCGCATGTGTACCCCGGCTACCTCTGCCTCTTGGACACCTGGCCCCAGGCCCTTGTGCGCATGCGTCCCAGAGTCCGGCAGCCTCCGGGAAGAGACTGCTGTCGGTCGCCGCCGCTGGGCGCCCGAGCTCCGCTTGCCGAGGCGCCTGCGGAGGCCTGTGCTCACAAATCCAGCCCTTCCCTCCGCAGCTGCCCCAGCAAGGCAGGGTCTGGGGGTGGCGAGGCGGGGTTCGCGGAGGCGGGGCGGTCGCCAGAATCCTACCCGCCTCAGTCGGGAAAGGGGCCGGACAGGAGGCGGCTGTCCGCGGGGATAGAGGCCCTGGGGCGTGCCGGGGGTGCTGAAGTCCCTAGGTGTG